TTATCAATTTATGGAGGAAATGGCATGATGAGACTGCCTACAAAGGCATGTTGTCCATGTATGACTGCTATTAGCAGTATTTCCAGGGGCTGGAGATGGGGCATTAAAGAGGACAAACTGAATTTCTACAGATAATTCTTATGATGCTATATGATTGAAGATGTCCATTTGTATCATTGCGTTATACAATTTTATATATTTTATTTATATTTATATATTTTATTTATTTATATAGTTATATATATAATTTTAACAATTCTTATATAAGATGTATCATGTAAGGTGTCCGTGGAAGAGTTACAAGCTGTTAAATATGATTATCCTGGTTAAATCATAGAATCATAGAGCTGGAAGAGACCTTACAAGGTCATCAAGTCCAGCCCCCTGCCCAAGGCAGGACCAATCTCAACTAAATCAACCCAGACCAGGGCTTTTCCATCACCTCCCAAGGTAACCCATTCCAGTACTTCACCACTCTCCTAGTGAAATAGATTTTCCTCATATCCAACCTAGACCTCCCCCCCCACTGTAACTTGAGACCATTGCTCCTTGTTCTGCTATCCGTCACTACTGTGAACAGCCTCTCTCCATCCTGTTTGGAACTTCCCTTCAGGAAGTTGAAGGCTGTTATCCAATCCTCCCTTTCTCTTCTCTTCTGCAGACTAAACAAACCCAAATCCCGCAGTCTCTCCTCATAGGTCATGTATCATCACTGTGTCTGAAGTTATAAATATTTGCTATGTATTTGTATCTCAGATATGTTTGTTATTAGGATGACACCTATAACGTAGTTTACATTCAGTCTCACCAGCCCTTTTTTGCATTTCTACAATAATTACACATTGGAAACCATATTTCACTATCTCTGCATTCAGTACTAACATAGTTTGTTACCCAACACCAGTTAAGTTGATTGCAATGACAAAACACCACAAAATCTGCTGAATATCAAGCAATCGAAGCAAAGTAAGAGCAAACTGTATTTACATAAACACACGCAGGGTGTTTTCCCCCTCACAGCTAGCTATCAGGAAAGCACTCATTCAGATCCTAATTATACATGTAAGGGCATGTGATGTGGACATGTGACCACAGACTTCATATTGATCAATAATTTTCCGTACATAGCAGCTATAGGCATTGTTTGGAACAGTAACTTTCCATGTACATGGTAGAGGACATATATAAAGACACTTGAGACATCTCCTTTTTGGCTTATTCCTGCTCTAATTTTCTGGACAGTGGATTGACAACTAAAAGGAGTGTTTTGAGCTATAGACTGAGGACCTTCAAATCTTTTGGAAGTCACCAGAGAGACTTTTGCTGGCTATCACTGCTACAAACCTAGTATAAAAATTTTACAAATATTTTTATGTAAATGATCTTTTTAACCATTTATCTAATATTTTCTTGTATTAATAAATTTTTAGTTAGATTACTAAGGTTTGGCTGACAGTGTAATACTTGGGTAAAATCTGAAATATGGAGTAACCTGAGTGTCTAACCATTTGGAATTGGTGGAAAATTAGCTATGGTAAACTGGGTTTTTAGTAACCTCTCTCCATATTAAACCAATGTATCTGGCTAGCAACCAAGAGCTGGAATACCTAGGGGGACAGCGAGACCAGGGGAAATTCCCCTCTTCTCCAGGCCCAACTCCCAACCCTGCCACTTCTTGCTTCTACTGTGCTTCTTGCCATCCCTGCTCCACTCCACTCATTTCCCATACCCCACCCCTACCCCAAGTCTTCTCTGCCCCCAGTGTGACCCGGCTGGGAGATGGTGGCAGAGCAGAGCAGTTTGCTACTTCTTTCTGCTTCTCACAACTACTGTTGCCATGGAAGTGTGTAGGTGTCCAACCCCTCTTGCTGAGCTGCACTAGGCATTCCAGGAAATCCCCCAGGCCTTCCTGAGCCCCGTGGGCTAAACTCAGTATGGAGGACAGTCCTATCCATAGAATGGTTGGGGTGGCTGCCATGGACCCCCCAAAATCACAGGGCCTGAGGCAGCCACACAGAACCATCCTATGGACTGCTCTGCCTAAGGGGGACATTATTTGGCTTCTTGTTAACCACTGTGGTGTTATAGAAGCTATTTGGTTTGATTAATCTAATTGTAAAATAAGTTTTGGGGATTGCCTGCTCTGTTTCTTGCTGTCTGCAGTGAGTGTGACATTCTTAGTGTGGCCCATCCCAAGCATCAGGAAACAATTTTTTCCTCAGGAGTCTGGTTGGCGGGTCTTGCCCACATGCTCAGGAGCTTACTGAGAGGCATAGTTTGGGTTGGGAAGGAATTTTCCTCAGATCAGATTGGCAGGAACCCTGGGGAATTTTAATTTCCTCTGAAGTGTGGGTCCTGGGTCACTTGCTATTTGAACTAGAGTAAATAGTGGATTCTCTATAACATGAAGTCTTTAAATCAAGATTTGAGGTCTTCAGTAACTCAGAGATTAGGGGCCTACTACAGGAATGGGTGGGTAAGATTCTATGACTTGGAATGTGCTGTAGGTCAGACTAGATAATCATGATGGTCCCTTCTGTATTTAAATTCTGTGAGAAAGTTTAAATGTAGTTCATACGGGCCTATCCTACAAAACCTTGGGTAAAGTTAAAACTATGCATATGTAATGAGCTCTGGTAAGGTAAATGGAACTAGTCACAGTGTATAAAGTAAATACAATCATAAGTGTGTTTGCAGCATAATTAAATGTGGTCTAATTTTTGAAACTGCCAAGACCCTCATTGGGATTTGTGGGAGCTTAAAACTTCTGAAAATCTGGTCACCTATGTACGAATCTAACTTTAGGCATCCAAGTTTGAAAATGTGGGACTTGGTTGTAGTAAGTAGCTTTCCCTATTTGGATTAACAAAATTAATCTAACCTGTGCAAAATAACTTTGGCTTAGAGGTTGTATATGCCTCTTTCAGCCACTGTTGCCCTCTTTGGCTGGCTCTTCCTTGTCTGTTCTTCCATGAATACAAGTCGACATCACACCCATTCCATTTTGTTGAGAGCACATTCTTTCCATTTCTGGCCAAACAGTCTTGTCATGGGATCAACCCAACATTTTCAGTCTACCCAGAAGTTGTTTGTGGTCTCATGAGATCCAATCACTAATGTGGGGTGTCCACCTACATGATCTGCCCATATCCACTTTGTGTCATACATCACCTGTATTACACCAGTCTATCAGTCACTTTTTTTAAACCCATGGGGCAATAATTTTCCACAATACACATGAGCTCCAATCAATACATTCCCATGTACATAATATAAATAGAATAATTACATAGAACTAATTATTAACTTAAACTGCTTGTGAGATTTCTGTATCTTCCAGACATTTACTTTTATGCTTCATTAAACTACAAACATTGTGTGACTTGGAGAGAAAAATGCATGCAGTCTAGTCATAGGCATGTCAGGCCTAACATATTAAAGAGACAAGGTGGGTGAGGCAATAATTCTTTTATTGGACCAACTTCTGAGTGACAAGCTTTAATTAGAGCCACACAGGCACTCCAGCATCAGAGCTTTTCTCTGACCTGAAGAAGAGCTCTATGTGGCTTGAAAACCTGTCTCACCAACAGAAATTGGTCCAATAAAAGATATTACCTCAGTCACCTTGTCTCTCTGGAAGAGAAAAAGGCATCACTGCAGATTCCCCCAGATGCCTAGTAATATGAATGGCACAGAAATAGGATTAAGAGAAAAATATTTTCATGGACGTGCAAGCCAGAGTCTTTAGTAGCTGCCATCAGACTGGCCTATTGTACAGTTCAAACAAGGCAGTGAAGTATGAACTTAAGACTGTCTGAATCTCAAATGCAATTATAGAAACTGGCTCCAGGCCTAGAGCATCATGGGGAAAAATTAGTGGGAGCAGAGCACCCACTGGCACCAAGCTCCCCTTTCTGTTCCCTCCCCCTCTGACTGTCATGAGCCAGCAGCCCCACACATACCAACTCCTCCCCGTCCCTCCCAGCACCCCTGCGAACAGCTGATTCATGGCATTTATAAGGTGTTAAAGTCCTTCCACATGACAGGGAAAGTCACTTGGGGTGAATTTCTGACTTCCGGAATGTAAGCTACCACGAAGAATCAAACTCTTCTTTGGAAGAGTTTGATTCTTCGTGGTAGCTTACATTCCGGAAGTCAGAATTCACCAAACTCAACAAAGACTGACTAAAAAATAATTAGCTTAAAGATACATGGATTAAAGGAAGAATATCTAAGCACATGTGACCGACCTAAGCAAAGAGTTTACAAGGAAAATTTGTTTTTCAAAGCAAATCCTTAATTCTCACCAGCTGTTTCAGTAGCACAATGTTCAATGTTTGGCCTATCAAACCAAACCACTGTGCATTCAGGAGGGAATGTGTCTCTGTGTTTTTAACAGGACTTTGTTCAGACTAAATTAAGGCTATCTCTTTGAAATCACATGCTTTAAGCCCAGGGAAGTGTGAATTCAATACACTGTAGAGTTTGGCTGATCTGTCATTAAATATGACCAATAAAACATTAGTAGTGGTTGTCTCTGTGACCACAGCAAGGGAGAGAGTTGGAGTTAAGGATCTCCAGTATCAATGATTCATGTCCACATACATTTAGTGTTATGTCATTCTTGAGGTCCATATGGGGTTGTACATTTTGCACAGACAGAGCAAAATTCAGTCCATTGCTTCTGTCAGCACAAATAAAGGAAACATGCAGTTATGGTCCTTGGGGTCCATTTTTCTTTCTTTGTAGACTCCATCAAAGTAAATACATCTACCCTTCTTCCACATAGCTTAAGCCACGTGTTACAGGATTTCCAGGGTTGAGCCCGGGACTCTGATACTGTTGTTCCCCATTCACTCTGTGGCCTGAGCTCTCTCATGATGCTTTACTATTGACAAACAGTGAACATCACCAGGCACTGTTATCACTCAACACAATCACCTGTGGAGCCCCGCACCAAGGTAGATTGCATGAATGTTCCCAGAGCCATTCATGAATAACACAGAGAAAAGCATCAGCCAAATCCCCCAACTCCCAGCTTTGTACCTCAGGAATATAATGTCTTGCACTGCTCAAGTTCCTCTGAATACTGCAAGTTTATTAGATTCAATACTTCATCAATGAAAAATGGACATACACTAGCCTTTGTAAACCTGAACGTATTTACCAATCACTGCAGGCCAACTCACTGGCAAAGCAAGTAAGCAGTAAATCAAGTTTATTGATTAGAAAAGATAGCTTTTAAGTGTATATAAGTAATAGGCAAAAATTCAGAGACGTTACTAAAAAAAAAGAAAATATAAGCACATACATTAGTCAGTATTTAGAACAAACAATGTTCTCACCCCACTGGACGTTACAATCTTTTGTTTTTCTCTTAAATCTGAGCCAGTCTCCTCTCTTGAATTCTTCTATGTTCTGGTTCCTTGTAGCATATGTAAGGAGAGGAGAAAAGGTGAAACATAGGGCCACTGTTTTCTGTTTTATACCCTTAGTTCAAATTCTTGAAAAACACAAGGCCAGGCATGTCTGGTGGACACTGCTGGGTCACCAGGCAAGGCTGAGCAATTCTCCTGATTTGGCCTTGTGCAAGGGAGTCATGGTGTTGTAGCTCCCTTGCTAGACAATGGCTGTTGATGGTGTTTTGATACCTCCCCATCTTTGGGGAGCTAGTATCTGGGTTCTTCCCAAGCCTACAGCATATTTTTAGTGACAACCATACAACGCAATTCTCATATCTTCATATACATGCATGATGCACATATTTAGATAGAACAGTGAGTTTCAGCAGATGCAATCCTTTTCCCCGATACCTCACATGGCATGCTCTATATGAAATATCTCAATTGTATATAAATGATGACTGTGCAGGTTACAGGGCATCAATGGAAAGTGGATATACACCAATCTTCTTAAACCTGAGCAGATTTACCAAGCACTTCAGGCTGCTGTGGAGAGTAGAGTGATACTCCATGTTCATAAACATATGAACCTGTGTGATACCTACTAGGAATGTTACATTTAGTTTAATCAACTAATCAACTAGTTGATGGATTTTCCGACTAGTCGATAAGTGGGGGAGCCTCAACAGGGTTAGCTCCCACCCCAGGACTGGGCGTGAGCCAGGAATAAGCTGATTCCCAGTTTGCACGTGGTCCCCACTACCTCCCTGCCTCCTCTGCCCCCTCAGATTTTAAGCACTGGCTCCTGCTCCCACTAGGGACTAGTCACTTACATCCCTAGCACTGCCTTCATCAGTGCATAGAGAAAGGAACTGGACTGGAGGGGAGAAAGAGTGACAGAAGAGGGCAGGACAAACATTGTAAGCTGCCCTGCTCATTCTGTTCTGCTGACTCTTCTAGTGTTCTACAGCTATTGCCATAATATTGCCTTCCACTGATGCCATTGTACAGAGGTGTAGCGAGGGTGTTATCTGCCTGAGGACAAAAGCAAAATTTGTGCCCTCTCCCCTCGCCGCTACATGGCAGTACCCTGAACCTGGTGCATGGTTGAACCCCAACCCTGACCCTAACCCTAAGCCCCCACCCCTCCAGTTTGGGGAAGGCCTCTGCACACACTATCCCGCTGTCTAAGATGAAGGAGGGTTGGGCTGGGGTTGGAGAGGAGCAGGCAAGCCAAGGGATGACAGGGGAAGTGGAAGGGGACTAAATTAGTGCCCCCCTACTGGGGTGCCCGGGAGCAACTATTCCCCCGCATTCTCTTTGCTACATCAGTGAATGTAAGAGATGAACTTACCTGTTAAAATAACACTAAGAAAAACTTTAAAATAAAACTAACACACAACACGAGAATCACCCTCACTTTCTTGAAGGCACTTGAAGCAATAAGTAGCCTAATGCTGAGGATACACTGCAAGCGAGGCTTTCTGTCTGCCACGAGAACTTTTTCCTTCAGGCTGCCGTGGGATTCTATCCTTAAGTAAAGGAGAGAGGTCTCTCTGAGCTGCTCTTCCAAATTTCACACAAGCCATTCAAGTGAAGCCATAGATGTCAAGATTCAAGGCCAGCCTTGCCTTTGGCAGACTGCCTTGCCAGGTGTTTACAATCAAAACTTCTGAACACGTATAAGACTTTTAGTTGAGAAAGCCATGTTAATCCCAAGTCTCTGCTATGACTTGGAAATGTGGATGACCTATAGAATATACCAGCATTTTCTTTGGAAAATCCACAACAAAACATGGAGGGAATCAATCACCTCAGTAATGCCAACTCCTTTAGAATTGAGGCCCAGATTATCCAGCACGAGCTGAGGTAGACTGAGCACTGTGTGCACGTTTAATATATTTTTACCTGTCCAACTTGCCAAAGGAGAAAGGAAACAGGGAGGCCAAAAGGAATGGTTGAGAGCAGTTTGTGTCAACATTTTTTAATAAAGTACCCCTTTACAAAAATTATAAGTACCCCCAATACATACAGTTTTCAGACACAATTTTTTTTCTACCAGTGCAATACATTTGTTTAAACAACTTAATCATAGCAAGACGGGCGATGAAATTTTTGGGTGTAAAAAAGTACGAAAATAATAAAGTGCTGTAAAACTTAACACAAAAATTCAGTTTTCTCCAAATGTCAGCTGTGTTGACGTACCCCCCAGACTTCTCTTGAGTACCCCTAAGGGTACTCGTACCACTAGTTGAGAAATACTGGTTTAGAACAGTGTTCCTCAACTTTTTTTTATAAAGTAGCCCTTTAAAAAATTATAAGTACCCCAATGCACCCATCCCTTCCCCAGAGCCAGACATCCCCAGCCCCTCTGCTCCAACGTAATGCCCCTCCTCCCCTGGAACCCTCCTCCTGCTCTAACCCAATGCCCGTCCCCCAGAGCCAGGCACCTCCAGCCCCCTCTGCCCTTCCCACACTCTAACCTAATCCTTCTCCCCCTTCTGCTGAGCCAATCACCAGAGGTATGGGTAACCCTACCTTTAAAGTGGCTGCTCCCACTGCCTGGCCCTGCCTCGGAGGCTAGATTGCACAGGAAGCACGTGGCCCAACAGCGCCAGTGTAATGTAGAAAGCTGCTACCTTATAGGATTGTGCTACTGGTAGCATTTTCTTATTTGTATGATCATAAGGAAATGCTCATATAGGAAACTGCTACCAGAAGTAGAACAATCCTACAGGGAGCAGTTCCATACACTCGCCACAACGCGTGCGCTCTGCTCCCACCCCAGCCCAGCACCCTCTAGCGTGGCACCCACTGACAACTGCCCCCCGTACACACCTCGCTACGTCTCTGCCATTGTATGGGCAACATGCATACTTCACCTCTTGTTCTTCCTATGCCCAGATAAGGAAAATCATCTAAAAATTATAAAGTTACATCTGCAGTCAATGAGGACACTGGTCAGTTACCCTTCTAGATGTTTCTTACATCTAGGACAATTTCCTGCCTTAGCATGCCATTCCAACCTACTCTGTGATGTTGTTTTCAGCTGCCATTGATGTGAAATAAAAGCAATTATCATCATGAAGAATTGGTTCTTAGACTCCAAGTAGAATAGGATAATCCTGTCTTGAAACTAGCTTAACTTGATCACTCACATGTTCAAGGACTCTTCTACTTTTTTGTTCCTAGATAAGGACATAACTTCTTAGCAATGTAGGTTTAATTATTATAATTCTAGTACTTTTTCTTTAGGTCCTCATATTTTGTCGTTTTTGAAAGTATCTACCCTCGTTGTGATCCAGTTTTCAGCTGTACACAGTAATGAATCATTTTTTATGTATTCTGCAGCTTGAGAGAAAGTTGAATCTAACATGGTTGCACAAAGCTATCAGGAATAGTGCTTATCTCTACAACGATGTTTATCAAAAATTTGAAACGCTGTAATATACTTTCTGAATATAATTATGTAATTAAGATGTAACTACACTGCTTAGACGTAAATGAGTACAAAGATGTAATTTATCTGTATGTACATATCTTATACTGAAATAACCTCAGGAAATATTCACAGTGCAACAGATGGGATTTTCACATGTTATTCCTCCCACGTATCCAGATAAAAATGTACACAGCACATTTGTTCTCGAAGGAGTCAGGTGCACTTGCTAATAGCAAACAAGGAAAACATGTAAAGCAATAAATATCTTCAAATAAGATAGTGTGCGTTTTCCATATTGGCCCAGTCATCATCAATATATGAGCACCTGTTCTAGTAATAAGAGCAAAGAACTGAAAAACAGCAGCTCCTGGCTCCAACCCCGCCTCGTCATGCGATCTTGGTGCAAGTCACTTATCACTTACCTTCTACTTCAGTTTTCCCTTTTGCAAAATGGGATGATAACACCTTCCTCCCGGGGCTGCTGTGCATGTTAACTTAATGAATGTTTGTAGAGATCATTGTGTTTCTTGGGAAAAAATCAACATAGAAGGGAAAAGTATTATTATTTTATTGTATTATACTCAGCAATATGCAGCACAAAACAAAAGCACAGACTCAACATATTACTTTAAAGCTCTATCGAGTATATTCAGTGGTTCTGAGCTTTATACAAACAGAAGGAATTTGGCTGTGTAAGGACTGAAAGATTGGGGCCAACATTTGCCAAATGATATTTAGTGGACAATTGTGAAATAATCATGAAAAAAAGAGACAGGATAATCTAAGAACTTATTTAATGTGTATCCTTTCTATAGAAATAGATATTTACTACTAAAATAAGACTCCATAATAAACCCATTATAACATCGGTTACACTATTTTTAGATCATTTAAAGAGAATGGCTAGGTGCTTACCTTACAGTAACTGTGGTTCTTCAAGATATGTTGTCCCCACAGATACCAAGCTTAGTATACATTCACTCCATGCTCTTCTAAATCTCTGTGGACAATCTCTCAAAGAAGAACATTTGTTAGGGGTAATAATTAAGTTTTCCTTTTTAAAAATATATTTAATAGCAGGATTATGTGGTGCTCCATATAAACCACCAGAGAAAAGCCTTTGTTACAAGAATTCAGTATCTATCCTCCCTCACAAGCACTCTCAAGAGCATGTATTTTACAATAATCTGGCAAGATGAATTACACAAAATAGGGTTTTATATAAGTAAATGGTAACTGAAGAACTATTTTTGCAGCAAACTAAGTTGGAAAAGATTTGGCCTTATTATGGAAAAGAAAACAGTCACCACAAATTACATACAAACCTGTAATCAATCTAGTGCAGCTTCCATGAGGAACAGGCTATGTCGCTTTCACTAATGCAGGACTTTTTTTGTTTTTGTTTTGAGGAAACTTTCTGGGCCTGATCCTGTTAGGTGCTGCATGATTCCTGTGCTGCACAGACTTTGAAGAATCAGATTTTGCAGATTTTAAATGTTTGCTGTCATATCAATTGATATGATCCAGGGGGTTAATATGAATATATTCAAACTAGGGCTGTCAATTTATCTGCATTAACACCTGTGATTAATGCAGGACACGATTAACACGTTAAAGAAATTACAGTGTTAATCGCAGGCGTTAATGCTGCACTGCTCCTTTGAAGGTCCCAACTGATCCCCAGTTCTGCATTCCGCTGCCCGTTTGAAGTGATGTTCTGGCGCTTCAAAGGGGCAATGCTGCACAGAGCCCGGGGTCAGCTGGGGACTCCAGCTGACCCCAGGCTTCCACGGTGCTGCCCCTTGGAAATACCAGAGCGGCCTTTCCAAGGGGCAGAACTGCACGAAGCCAGGGTCTGCTGGGGACTCCAGCTGATCTTGGGCTCCTACAGTGCTGCCCCTTTGAAACGCCGCCACTACATTTCAAAGAAGCAGCTGCACTGAGCCTGGGGTCAGCTGAGGACTCCAGCTGATCCTGGGCTTCTGCAGCACTGCCCCTTTGACAAAGGAACAGCACAAATGATTAATCACATGATTAATTGCGATTACTTTTTTTAATCACACAATCACTATTTTTTTTAATTGCTTGACAGCCCTAATTCAAGCTATTGTAATTATGTTAGGTCTTCTACAGACATGATGCACTGGGTGCAGGGTCTGCTAGCTGGGTGCTGGCAGGCTTGCACCTGGCACGGGCACCGTAGCCAGCCCGTGCCCCTTTAAGGGGTCTGGGGCCGGGAGGGGGGCATAGAGTTTCCCTGGTGTTGGCCAGAGTGGCCACCAGGGAAACCTGGGAAGCCTTAGCCTCCCCCTAGTTCGAACTAAAGGGCTACACAGCCCTTAGTTCGAACTAGCTAGTTCGAACTAAGGGCTGTGTAGCCCTTTAGTTCGAACTAGTGGGAGGCTAGCCCTCCCCAGGTTTCCCTGGTGGCCACTCTGGCCAACACCAGGGAAACTCTATGCCCCCCTCCCGGCCCCGGACCCCTTAAAGGGGCACGGGCTGGCTACGGTGCCCGTGCCAGGTGCAAGCCTGCCAGCACCCAGCCAGCAGACCCTGCACCTGGCACGGCACAGAGCCACCCACCCGATGCCCCCCAGCCCACTCCCTCTTGCCGGGACCAGGCTGGCGGCTCCCGGGAGCTTGCCCTGGACCGCAAGAGGCGGGCACCTTCCTGGGCTAGTGCGGACATCGTGGACCTCGTCCACGATCTCTGCACTAGGCACAGGAAAGTGGCCGTCTAGGGCAGGAGAGCTGCCAGCCTGGCCACCCAGGACCAGGTGTGCATGAAAATCAAGGGGGTCCACTGAGACCCCCGACCCTGAGCCCTGAGCTTACAATGGCCGTCCTGGGTCAGACCAAAGGTCCATCTAGCCCAGTAGCCTGTCTGCCAACAGCGGCCAACCCTAGGGACCCTGGAGGGGATGGACCGAAGACAATGACCAAGCCATTTGTCTCGTGCCATCCCTCTCCAGCCTTCCACAAACTTTGGGCAGGGACACCACTCCTACCCTCTGGCTAATAGGACTCCATGGACCCAACCTCCATGACTTGATCTCACTTCCCTTTAAACTCTGTTCTAGTTGTAGCCTTCACAGCCTCCTGCAGCAAGGAGTTCCGCAGGTTAACTATTTGCTTTGGGAAGAAGAACAACTTTCTCTTACTAGTTTCAAGCCTGCTACCCATTCCTTTCCTTTGGTGTCCTCTAGTCCTTCTTTATGGGAACTCAGGAAGAACTTTTCTGAATGCACCCTCTCCACCCAACCCCTGCTTTTAGAGACCTCTATCCTGTCCCCCCTCCGTCTCCTCTTTTCTAAGCTGAACAGTCCCAGTCTCTGTAGCCTTTCTTCATCTGGGACCTGTTCCCAACCCCTGATCATGTTAGTTGCCCTCCCCTCTCCCAGCCTTTCTCTTCCCCTCTCCCACCTCCTTTTCCCAGTCTCCCCCAGTTTTTTTTCAATAAAGACAGAGTCAATGTTGGAAGAAACGTTATCTTTATTTTGTACATCAATAAGAAGGGGGGCTAGGGAAGGGTAAGTGGAAGGAGGTGAGGGAGGAATGGGGTATGAGCCCCCGATGGGGAGGACTGGGCTGGCTCTGCGGGCTTCTGGGGGTGGAAGCTCTCCTGCAGCCCCCCAATTACTCCCTCTCCCCAGATGGCAGCCTGCGGCAAGTGCAGCCGGGCTGATGGCCGAGTGGTGTGATGTGCCCAGTGTGGGCACTCAGGGCACTCCAAGCCAGAACTTCTTTGCAAGCGGGGCACCCCTTAGAACTGTGTGTCCGGGGTGGGGGTCGGGACCCTTTAAGCGCAGCCCTCGGCTAGCCTGAGACAGCATCTCCATGCTCTAAGTCCTCCTTTTATGCCCTGCCGGCACTGCTTCCGGCCATCCTTAAGCCCTGTTCAGAGTCCACTCAATGTGGACTTGCTAGTTCGAACTAGCAAAACGCTAGTTCGAACTAGTTTTTAGTTCTAGACGCGTTAGTTCGAACATACCCTATACTCTTTAGATATGGCATAGCATACAACAATAAAGCAAAAAATATTTTGTAAAAATACTAAAGCCACTCTGACCTAGTGACTATAAGACAATGTGACTACCGTCTGGGGAGGCTGCCTAGCCATTATCAGCCAGAGCAGAAATATTGCTATAGATTCTTTAGCCTAATGAATCACAAGGGCTATGTCTAGACTGCAAGCCTCTTTCGAAAGAGCCTCTTTCGAAAGAGAGCGTCTAGACTGCACGCGGAACTTTCGAAAGAGCAAGCCGCTTTTTCGAAAGAAAGCACCCAGTGAGTCTGGATGCTCTCTTTCGAAGAAGCCCTATTTATATTCAAGAACGCCTTCTTTCGAAAGAAGCACTTTCGAAAGAAGGCGTTCTTCCTCGTGAAATGAGGTTTACCGCCGTCGAAAGAAAAGCTGCGTTCTTTCGATTTAATTTCGAAAGAACGCGGCTGCAGTCTAGACGCAGGTGAAGTTTTTTCGGAAAAAGGCTACTTTTCCCGAAAAAACCCCTGAGTCTGGACACAGCCAAGGGAAACACGGAAGTTGATAATGACAAAGCAATGACAAGATAAAAGGCACTCTCACACAACATAAGCAAAATGCTGTGCCAAAATTAGAACTGATCTTCAAATTCTGGCAATCGCCCACAATACTTAATGACTTTAAATGGTTTCAGCATTTCACCCATTTGCTCCACATTGAGCTCTTCTCCTGTTTTTACTTTGCCGCAATGCATAAAAAGTATTTGACCTCCTAGCCCAGACTTAGAGCACAGTGGTAATAGTTCTTTGGGGGCATAATTCCCCATCCTTGAAGGAGCAGTAGGGCAGACAAAGACTACAGACACTGGCATTTTTAGAAGTGATCTTTAGGCCTGCTTACGACAGATCTAATAGGCATAAGTTTAAACCAGCCAGTGGTTGTGGAAGCTGCATCTATGCTAGCAGTAGCACTGGTAGCTCTATGTGAGCATTAGCAATAAGGGAAAGTTTTCCCAGACAATG